CCCGCCCCCCCGGTTTGGCTTGTTGGTAGATCCCGACCTGTGTCCCGAGGCCCGGTCTGTTTCGGACTCTTAGAGTTTGAGTTTGAGTGTAATAGTCTCTTCTCACACCGCTGGTGGGCCCGAAAGCTGAGGCTCTGGTCATGGGCTGCTCTGGAAAAGGGTTTCTGCCTCACCTGTAGCTCTTCAGGTAGAGCCAGCTGCCTCTGTGTGATAGAGGGGAAATTATGCCTCTTTACTGATATTGCAGGTTATTTATAGAACAGGGTGATCCAGCAATCAAGCAGAACTGAAGAGGGTTAAGTGCGGGGAGTTCATGATCCTTGGGCACAGCTTGCCTATAGCTAAAGTGGCTTGATACATGATAAGTCGCGCTTCCCATGCTGGCCTTCCCCAAACAGTAGGAAGAATTCCCAACTGGTGGGAGCAATTCCTTCCACTGAAAGACGAGACGCAAGAGAGCACGTCGTGCTGGGAGCATTAGTAATAGCAACAGTAGTTCACTCATAACTGATGAGATGAGCCAAGGTCCTTGAATTCACAGCTGTAGTTTAGAATTTTAATCCAAATTCACAACTGTGGCTGGGAAGTGAAAATTAAGAGATATTCACAGCCCCAAGGAGTTTGAAGGAGTCAGTTCTTTTCCTATACTGTTGCGTAATGACAGAGAAAATTCTGCACACTGATATGTGCTGTATTGCTTTATTGCATGTTTTCTGTTTAGTAAGGCAAGTGAAGCTGCTGTCCAGTGATTTAGACTCTGTTTTTCTTACTGTTGCTCTCCAAATGCTACACAACTGTTTTCAGTTATAAGACAATTTAACAGATAGTATAATGGCCTATATTTACTTCCGAACTAGACTGGAAAGTGGTGTTTCAGGTATCGTTTCATAGCTGGATTGGATGTCCCTCCCACTGGTACAGGAATATACATCGGAGGCAAGGCAGGAAAGGAAGCAGTAATGTAATTTGTAGCTGTGTGTCTGCTTTTAAAGCTCTGTATCACCAACCCTTTGCCTGTTTAGATTTAAGCTGTTAGAAAAAACAGTCTTCCTGTTTGTACGTGGATTTTCATGCAGCATGGCCCAAATCATAGGCAGGGCCACCCACATACTCAAGCCACAAAAAACCCCCAACCTTTTCCTTCCAAAAAAGTCCACAGTAGTATAGCTTTTCACAGATCAGAATGCAGGCACAGGAAAAACTCTTGCTAGATGTGGAGGTAACAATATCTGGAGGCCTGTAAATGTAGAGTGGAAGAGGCAGTGTAACTGTCTAGTCTGAGCTTTGCCACTGCAGCAAGATACAGTAAGCCTAAATCATTCTCAAAAGACAGTTTTCTAAGTGGCTTCTAGGCGGTTAAGAAAGATTGCTCTGTGTTTGTCCTACATAAATTGTTCTGGTGTTTCACTAGTGTGACACACTCCTGTCTCTTCCTTCATTGCAAGTTAAGCTGATTTCTTGTTATCTTCTTTCCGTGCTCTCCCCCAATTCTGCCTGAAAAGGTGAAAAAATTATGACACTACTTCTTATGTGTTAAAGGTTCTTATGTTCCCCACTTTTTCATCAGTCTCACTTCTCTAGACTGGGATGATCAA